ACTACTACTGTTGCTGCTACTACTACTACTACTACTACTGTTATTACCGTTAATACTAATACTACTACTATTGCAACTAAAATCGCCACTAATACTACCATTTGTAATAGTAACAGTACAACTAATTACTGGTGTTATCTCCTGAAGACGTTCGGTTACGGCTTCGTAGTTGCTGCTACTACTACAACTAGAATTACTCCCGCTGCTGCTACCATTAATACTACTACTATTACTGCCATTACTACTGTTAATACTGTTATTTTTACCACCATCCCTACTCATACTATTATTTATACTATTACAACCATTACTGATAATACTGCCATCAGTCATACTACGATTACTATTATTACTGCTTGTACCACCAATTAATTTAACTATTACTCATTACTACTGTTAGTACTACTACTATTAATCCTATTACTAATACAACAGATGTTCCGTCTCATGAACTTTTAGCCGACATTTTGAAGTATATGCTGAAACAAATTCCGACAAGACAATTAATAGCTGAATGGCAGTTTCTGGCTCTCTAGCTGTCATCAGCCGGCCATACCCAAACTCAGACGGTACACCACCTGAGACTCGAACCCTTAACCTGTTGGTTGGAAGTCCAACGTTCTAACTCAGTGCGCCATGGGCTCTTTGTGTTGCCAGCTTACATCGGGAATATTGACATTCGGGAATGAACGCTCACCCAATCTTCGGTTTGCCGCATCTATTGTTTCTTAGTCCGACGATTAAACCACTGAGCCACTGGCTTGTCCTCCGTTGGTCTGATTGGGTGTAGGGACGCTCGCTGATCGTCTCCGCTTGGGGCATCTGGGGCGGGCTAATGACGTCTAATAAGTCAGAAATGGTCATGCGGTTTCTTATGAACTTCATACTTATATTAAAGGTCACCCTGGAAAATAAAGTTTCTGCATTTTAACGTTAACTTATTGATTGCCAGCTTTCAATTTTCCTCCTCCTTTCCCTCATTCCTCTGAGGATGCTTTCTTTACAGGCAACCTTGCATTGGTGTCATACAAGCGTGCCCCTCTACGGCTGCATGCCAGTCCACTTTTGTCTGACCACCCTGCGGGATTCCATGGTTGACGCAGGATTTCTCTCCTCCAACCCCACGTCGCCCTGTTTGCGCCCCGCCGATGTGTATGTTGGTCGTGACGCTCTCCGTGTGGTACTGACCGGCCCGTTTCTGCCTGCTGCTACATCAGTTAGCACAACAAAAGACGCAGCGGCAAACTCCTGCGCCTCAGAGGATCAACAGCACTCAGTGGCCGTTGCTGTAAGTGTCTAGTGTTAGCGACGGTGCTACAAGTCGCGTTTACGTTTTGTGAAGGTTTGCACATCGCTGCACAAGCTACCCTCACTTCCGCTTCAATCGTGTAGCAAGCGCAGTAGAGCTGTTCTTGGGAGAACTTTTTAACCGAATTATCTGCTGGCAACGCATTAACTTACTGGCAGCTGGTTTTGGAAAACAAAGGGAATTTCTGTCTGTGGTAGCGCAACTGACAGGTATTCGGCGGGAGTTTCCTTGGTAGTGGAATAATTATCTTCATTGTATTTACCTACTTAAGGATTTTCAGTAGGCATACTTTTCTTCTCAGAAGTTGGCTAAATTTAGCTACCGGTTAATCGGCTCAGTTATCATTGTTATTTCCAAAAAACGCCCGTTGCCGCTGGGATACATACAGAACCTTAGCTCAGGGAGTTAGAAGTGATAGACGGGTTGCTTCAATTTAGCTAACAGTTAACACCCCCGGCCTAATCTACGCCGCGTGAGGTCTTCGTCATTCCTCAACAGACAATACCACGTCACCTCACTTTATGGGATATCTGCTCCGCTTTATATTTACACATTATCCATTCCATGACAAAACTATCGCAGTATCAGTTGAACTTTACAAAACCATTGAGGCTCTTCCAAACCTTATTTTCCTACACATATCCCGATCACTTTCCCATCACGGCCAAAACAGGAGTTTGCGCATTTCACCATTCCACACCGCATTATCAAGCACCCCACTACGAACGGCGTCTTATACGTGCTCTCATTTACACCGTCATATTATACTGCAAGCATGCATGTAACCACATTTCCTTGCACGATTTCCACCTGCACGAATACGACTTCTTACAACACAGATCCCACCACTCCACTAACAACTACCAATCCACTGCTTCTACGCTACCCATCTTCGATAAACATCGACTTATCATTCACTGCTAACGCACTTACACACTTGCCGCACATACTGCAACATTAACGTATTCACACCCACGACTAGCTACAACGGAAAAGACATCTACATTATGCTGCTAACCGTACATTTTCACAAAACTCACATACCCATACCCATTGCTACTACATACAAACGCCTGCATACCCACATTTGCACACTTACTAAACAAAATCCACACAACCAGCGCATGTGTCATTAACGCATCTAATAGCACCTCGCCCATACTTATGCATTACCATTGATTACTCACATTACGAGATTTACATACGTAACGTGATACTATCACCATACGATTTATAAAACGACTCCATGCGTGAAATTAACACCAACGGATTACAGTTAACGGCAAACTGCCCAATTAACTTAAGCTCAATGCCTAAAATATGCACGAGAAACATGAGTTGGCCCATCCCTATACATTACTATTGCATACCCATAAGACAGCATAACGTTCGTAGAATACTACAGTTGATATACGAAATACAAAACACCGGCACTGATAATAAAAACATCGTTACGCCACGCTTCATCATCGAATCCGTCCTCCACGTGATCACCCCAACGGCCAACACCCGAGAAAAATATCATTCCGCCCATAAATACTTATTCCCATTAACTACCAACAATACGAAATTATACAAACGTACGACTTACACAAGACCTGATTACGTGACATTACCACCACTCCCTTACAGTTCATGCGAAAGTGCCAAATTTACTTACGGAACATACCAACAACGCGTCCGACAAACATTACTTCACCAGCATTATATATTTTGATTGAGTACCCCTACCACGCCATGTTACCGTACGATTACACTTCGCGCCCCATTTGTACCCGACTTCCACGATAACGCTGTCGGCAAACGAAATGGAAAACCTTTAATCGTCACGAAAAAATCATAAGACCACGCTTAATCATACAATGCGTCCTAAACATTTTCAGCAATCACACTATCGACGGACGAAAACCTTCACTCGCATAGCCGTCCATTGCGATTTGTCGCAGTAAACGACAATTAGACATTTAACGATACAGTTAGGAGACGAAATAGACAACGTCTGCAAAGGTGACTGCGTCATCATAATATCAGGCTATGCCAAAAAAAAAACCGGCTAACGACACTTCCACATGACACGATGAACGTCGATGGTAAATACCGATTCGTCAACTATAACACCGTATCATTTCATACCTAGACAAGAAAAAAAACTTCTTAAACATAAAAAAAATTATAAAACCTTTACAAAGGCTACCAACATTACACACCGTAAATCCATAGTTACACAACTACACCAAGAAATTTGTCAACGTTCCGTAATCAACGTCAACAAAAAACAAGACAGTTCCTCCTTTCACTCGTCCGATTCACTGCGTCCTCACAAGCTTCCCTCACTATTCTCCAGCGCCTTCGGAAGACGTTCCCACTCCAGTCGCTTCTTTCACTTCATTGACAACCGACACACCCTACAATATAACAAGAAAAACACACTTACACATACTTAAATCAATTACTAAATCCAACGACAACAACAATAGTTAACTCACATGACAAAAAACAAACAATAAAACAACATCAAACTACACTAACAATAACCTCACACACTTTAACATCCACACTTACTTCCGCATTCTCAAATCCATACATATCGGCCACATGCTTCAAAAATAATTCCCACGCACATTTCACGTCCATAGATTGTAAACGAAACCATAACCGGTACTGTACTTCGTCCACGTGGGCCCATACAGAGCGTCCTTGCACAGGACCACTTTGCCGCAACTTCCCTTTCAACCTGCTCCAGTAAGCCTCAATCGCATTCGTATGCTTCTTCGTTATTGGATCCTTGAAGTGATTACTGTGATTGACAGTGGCATGCTCCTAACCTTCACCTTTCAGACCACTATAGCCACTCCACGCATCTGTCACCACATCAGTACCCGGCTTTATCCACTTCTTGATAACTCCCTTTAATGCTGGCCAACGTCTGCAGTTCACCTGCTTGACAATTGCCTTTCGCTTATCACAGTCGTACATGCTGAGCAACCAAAGCTGCCTCTTTCTTCTGCCAACGTTATACTTCCGTCGGCTTATTAAGGTTTCATCAACTTGCACCTCGACCTCCGGTCCTCCCAGGATACTCTCTTCATTCAGTAGCGCACTTGAACACACGTCGCGGCATACGGCATACCATTTGACTGCTGCTTTGTGTCCTATCCGCAACTCGTCCTCCACTTCCTTCACCGGACACCCCTTGATGAACATTACCCACAATTTCAAAATAGTTCTAATCGTCAAGTGGCTCCCTTCAAATATTGACCCCTTCCTTACTGCCTTCTTTCTCCTACACTTCCGACACGAAAACACATAACCGTCCGTATGTTGACGAAGGATTTCTTCCGTCATAGAAACACCACATTCACATCTCACAGCCACGGGAAGAAGACTTTTCTCTTCACAATAGTCCACCACATCCACGGAGTTAATCAACTGCATTATTTCCTCCGTTTTCGTGCATCTCTCCACTTGAGGCTTCCCTCTCCTTTTCCTTCCTCCCACATGGGCTCTATAAATGTCAACATAAACACAACAACCCTTCTTCACAGACAATCTATCACATATACTCACAGATTCATTATATGTACATGGATCTGTCTACCATACTCCTAACACATATACATGTGCACATAGAAAGCACGCACCGGTTTACTACACCAATCAAAGACCAACTTACATAAGCAAACATCATCCATAAAAACAAAATATAACTATTAACGATTCTTAGAAATTCACCAATACCAATCATTTCGTTTTCCACATCTATTTCTACGTCACCTTCATAAATAAATATGGATGCCCTTACCAAAACATACACAGTCACGCAATTTAAAACACAACACATTCCATACTTCGTGTACTTACATATTACCACTCCTTCCCACTGAATTAACTTCAACTGACATACCCTCCTGCATTCGCATTCACAGCACGTTTAACGACAGACGATTTTCCCTCGCGCACTGCCGCACACACACAAGCTTTAATTTCATTGGCTATCCATCACTTTGACCCCTGATCTGTTCAAACCTACGCAATGGCGGATTATTAAAGTTCCTTTCTTCGTCAAAACGCCTTCTTTTTACCACTTTTTTCAAGTTTCGCGCTATATGCCTTCGCTATATAGCCGGCGCATTAAATTACTTTAACAAAAACGTCCCCTATTTGTACTTATTTTATGACCCTTCATTCCACATCCATCAGGTTTCCCCACCCTAAAACCCCCAATTCCCACGCTTCCCGTAAGACAGAGACCTCCGCATTTTAAATATCAAGCCACTACCAAGGAAACTCCTGCCAGATATTCTTCACATGCGTCCCTCCTAAAGGGGAAAAAAGTTCTTCCTTACCTTTTCCTATTACTTTTTCTAGACTCATTGGACCAACTAATACTCATGAGGTACTGTCGAAAATATTGGGGTCTTAAACACTCTGCTTCTTGCTCGTGTGCCCTCTAAGTCATTTTTCTCTTGCTCATCTTTAATTTCCCGAAGACTGACGTGTGTTGCGTCTGATGGGTGGATATTTTTAGTTAAACTACTGTCTGTGTGTCTCCTAGGCGGGCCGCGTTTGTAGATGCGCTGGAGCACCATTGGGACTAGGTCAGGGCACCGCAATCAGTATTAAGTGACGACCGTCTGCTTTGTCGACTTCACCGACGCATTCGATTCCATCTATCGTGAGTCTCTGGCGCAAATAAAAGAACTGGATGGAGTGCCGGCCAAGCTCTACCACCTTACGAGTTCTGGTCCACAACAATATCTCT